GAAATTCCACACACAGAGCACCCGGTGGACCCTGGGACGACGCAGACCGCACACATCTCTGACCTGCCACCCAAATATGTCACCAGTGACGGGCCTGGTAGGAGGCGCCGTCGGTCTTAATGCCCCATCTAATGTACACACAGCCAAATATATTTAAACACATGGCCGCCCTCCATCACACGCACATCACATCTGTCACACTTCTAAGAATGTGCCTCACCGTTAATGGCGCACGAATGAATGTAAGTGTACACACTTACCGGGTTACAGCACATGTTTCATTCTAAGCGTATCAGACTACACGGCCGCTAACTGGCTTCATGGTTTGTATGAAAACACGGCGCAGTTAGTCTTCAGTTGGTATGGAGGCTTATCCTGGACTGCTGCTGCGAGCTGACTCACATTTTCAGGGTTCAGAGGTTAATCTGCCGTGTTTGCACACGCAAGCCAGATGCCATCTGACGTTGGGAGACTCCCAAACACAGAGAGGTGTCACTGGGCTAACTAGCTCTGAGCACTTCATCTGTGGAGGAGTCGTGGCGCATCACAGACGGACAGTTAAATGGTGGCCATCAGGGGGACTTCTTACCATCAGTTTCTTTTTAGCAAACAAGCTTTTATACTCTGTAACAGGATTTCCTGTAAAACACTGGCAGCTCTGCAGTAGAACATGAAGTTTACGGTTTAATACTGTAACTAGACTTTACATAACGTTCTGTATTCATATCATGCTGCCACCATAATCAACTTTAACTGCAGTTTTGTGTCTCATTTCTGTCATCTTGTGTCTCACTTTTCTTTTATGCCCAGTAACCTCTAGTTTTCATCATTGTGTCTTTCTTTTGTGTCTCATGTTTGCTGTTTGAGGTCTCAGTGTTGTGGTGTTTGTGTCCTGTGTGGGTAGTTTTGTGTCTTATCTTTCTTTTCTGTCGCATATTTGTTGTTTGGTGTCTTGGTTTTGTGGTGTTTGTGTCCCGTGCGGGTAGTTTCATGTCTCTTTGTGACAGTTTTGTCTCCTTGCTGTTGTTTTACATTTTGTGTCTCATTTGCATCCTATTATATCTTCTTTGTGTTGTTTTATTTCAAATTTTTTTCCTTTTCTGTTTCATTTGTGACATTCTGTCCACGTCTCTTTGTAACAGTTTTGTCTCTTTCTGCTGTTTTGTGTCTCATTTTTGACATGTTGTGTATCATTTTACTCTCGTTTGGGTAGTTTCGTGTCAGGAGTCCTTTTTTCTTACTTTTGTAAGCACTGTGGGCACTTTTTTCATATTGATTCCATGTTGATTCTATTTTTTTTTTCATTTTTGTAAATTAAATAATCAAAAAAATTCCTTTTTTGGGGGTCATTTTTATGATTTATGGCATTATTACGTTGCTCAGCTGAACAAAAGACATTTTTCAGTTCTCTCTACTTTTAGCCATAGTTGTGTTGTTTCCATAGAGTTGCAGGATTTGAATGTGATGGGAGGGGAGCAAAAAGACAACAACAACAACAACAACAACAACAACAACAACAACAACAACAACAAACCTGCTTGGTGTTGAAAGGGTTAACATCTGTCCTGTGTTTTTTTTCTGTTTTGTCTTTTGAGAAACAAATCATAAACCATAACTGAGAAATGTTTTTTCTCTTAGAGGTGCAAGACTTTATCTTGCAGTGAAAAATGAGCCCGAGGTGAGTAAACATGTGACGGGAGCAAAGAAATGCTCAGAAACTAAAGCGCTAAAGACAGTTTCTGAAAAGCTAATGTCGCGATAAAACGATAATGAAAACATTTGGTAGCTGCAGCGCCCCTTAAAAGTGAAGGAAAAAGCTAGTAAAAGGCCACATGAGTGAATAGTTTTGCACATACAGTTTCATAATGTATCTGCTGTAAAGCCTTCAGCCTTGCAGATTTACATCAGGCTGTTAACCCTTCAACATGACTTTTGGGGGTTGACCTCCTGACATAAAACAAGAGCACTATTTTGGATCCTTGTAATGAATTTGGACATAAAGTTGTCGAGGATTTATTATGTTGTTGGACAGCTAAATTGCTTTGAAGTATATATATGTATCTCCACATCTTTGATGGTTACCAGAATAATCATTTAGCCCACAAGAAAATATGCATCAGAATTTGTAGTCCAGGTTGAGATTGCAAACCACAAAGCACATTCAGTTCATCATAGAAGATGAAAAAAACCAACACATATCTGCATTTGAGAAGCCAGTAGTGAGTTTGTGCCACGATTGCTTTAAAAATAACATCAAATCTACAAAAACATCATCTAGGACCTATGACCTCAACATTTTGCTAATAAGTTCTAACTCTGAGTTTCAGCTGTTAATGCATGTTCATATTCCCGTTACTTTTCTTACTTCTGGCGCTCAATAGAAGTTGTACCTAGCGCTAACATCCTGCAGGGAAGACCAGCAGGTATTAAAAGCTTAAAGTAGCAGAATGACAAAACTTCTGCTTCTTTTTCAACCAGAGTATAAATACACTGCAGGCACACGCAGGAGAAATATAATAACATATGAGTTGCTTTACATTCACTTATCTGTGTATCGAGTGAAACGCATGAATCATTAGATAAGCCGGAGGAGGAGGCATCTGGAGAAACTCTCCGGGGCTGTGAGGCAGCAACAGTAAATGTCAAGGAAAACTCACAATATATAACTCTCTCCTGCAGAGCATTTTATCTTTCTTTTCATCTGTGCAAGGAGTGAAAGCGGGAGAGGGGCGGCTCCGGTCACAGATCCAGCAGGAGGGTTGGAGGTACGACTGAAAGCGTGCCTGTTTTGGGAGAGCAGTTTTTAGGGGTTTTATGGGGCATGAGACGAGGTCTTACAAGGCTTTTTAATAAAGCCCCTGGTCCCTCCACCTGCCTGCCTGCTGCCAGAGATTCCTGGTACAATGCTTTTTGGCTTGGTGAATAAGGAGGAGGAGGAGGGTGAAGGGATACAGCAGGATACTGTAGCTCAGCATGAACGCGAGGGGCATGCCAGGCCTCTCACATCACTACGCTGGAGTGGGAGCTGAGCTGAACTCAGAAACCCCTGGAGATCGGTCAAACCTGCACAGCTCGAACCGAAGCAAATTAAATCAAAGCAATAAACGGGCACCTAATAAAGTAGCCGATTCTCGAGGTAGGAACTGGCAGAGCGGAGGAATGCTTTGCGGTACCTGCATCCCAACCAGCTGGTAACCTCCCGGAGCTCTTACTTTCTTCGTTACATAAGGATAAATCTTACTAGCACATGTCCTAATCCCTAACCCGAGGATGAGCACAGACAATCCCTCACTCAATCCCACCTAACCTTGCAATATTCCCAAGTTCTGAAATCCAAGCTGGACTGGCGTCACAGAGGACAAACAAGGTGTCTGCATGCATTTTGAGATCAAAAAGTGTTCCTTTAAACAAATCCAACAGCCAATAAAACCACATTAATTAAATTATAATCAGCTTAGTATGTGTAGCAGTAAATAGGTCAGAGAGCATCAATATTAGTGTATCTGCAAGATCCAAGGCCATCCATAATTTGAATTTATACATTTAAATCCTTGAAAAACAAGCAATGGGAGATTCTTTAAAAGCCAAATTCACCACTTTAATAGAAAATATTGTACTAAAAAGACTACATTTGGAAGATATTCTTTGAATTTGAAAAAAATTAGGCTTTAAATTCACTTCACTAAGTATTTTTGCATTCAGTGGAAACTGTGGTTTTTAACCCAAACTGCACTAAAATCTTGTGGACACATAATATGATTAGTTTGTTTTCTGTTACCTGAACTTTTAATGAAGTTTCTTTAACAATAAAAAAAAGTATTCATAGCGTTATCATTGATATCATTCTCACTTTTTCTGTAGAGCTGCAACAACTATTATTTGTCAACTATTAAATTAATCGCCAACAATTTTGATGATTCATGAATCAGTTTGAACTTAAGTTTTTAAAGAACAAATTATTTGATTACAGCTTCTTAAACGTGAGAATTTTCAGTTTTTTTCCCTCCTTTGTGACAGTAAACTGAATATCTTTGGGTTGTGAACAAAACAAGACATTTGTCATTGAAGCACTGATTCCATTATTCACGATGTTTTGACATTTTACAAACCAAACAATTAATCTTTCAATGAAGAAAATAATCATCGACAGGTTAACTGACAGCAAAAAAAAAAAAAAACGTGTTGGTTGCAGCGCGATGTCTTTGTGCCTGAAACCTTTTGCACATTACTGTTATGAAGTTGATGTAATTGGTTTTCCCAGTGGAAAGACTACACTTGGTGAAAATCCAAATATGACCCAAAGTTAGCAGAAGAGTTCAAGCAGCCTGTCAGTGATCCCACTTCAGCTCAAATGGAATTAGGTAGATAAATAACTGCTGTATGAACATCTGGAGGTGTGGTTTTAATTGAGAGCTTTTTCAATGCTTTTTATCATACAGAAGTTGAAGCTTTATATCATTCTTATCTCCTATATTTACTTATTGACTGCATGAACTGAGGACCCACAACACACAGTAACATACATAAAACAATTAAAAAAATAAAAATAAAAACATCATTTGGTAAAAATGAGGGACATAAATGAAATTTGTTATACGGTGTCAAGTTCATAATTTGCACAACATACTCCCATTTTTCCAATTAGCTTCTTGCATTTGAGTTAGAGCTGCAACAATTTATGGAATTAACAATTAGTTGCAACTGTTAATCTGCAACTAATCTGATAATCTATTAATTAGTTTGAGTAACTTTCAGGTTAAAAAGTTCATATTCGCTGATTGCAGCTTCCTAAATGTGAATATCTTTGGTTTTCTTTCCTTCACTACGACAGCAACATGAAAATCTTTCACCATTTCAACCTATACATTAATTGAGAGAATGGCTGACATAATAATCAATGATGATGATATTTGTTAGCTGCAGCCTTAATTCAAGTCCCTCAAACAAGCCCCGAATCAACATGAATCCAGATGTTGTACTGAGTCTGTTTTCACTCTTACCTGAATTGGCTCTTGGGTCAGTCTCATTGGTCCAACACATTCTTCTGTTGCTGAAACCTGCACAAGAAACAGTGACAATAGATGTGAATCAGTCAAAACTGGGCACATGAAAGACACACAAAGCAAAAAAAAAGAAAAGCTGTGAACTCTTCTTACCATTTTACCATTAATGTCCAGAAGCATATTGGCATATTGCTTTTTCCTTGCAAGACCTGTCTGTCCCTGCTGCACTTCAACCCGTTTAATCTTCTTTCTTACAAGCTACTTTCAGTTTCAAATCCAGGAGCAACAAAAAAAAAGTATTCCCTCGTGCTGTACAAGGCAGATGTGTGGAGTCAAACAGGATAGCAACAACGTTCTAAAACAACAAATCTCTGCACATCTTGACTACAGATTGTGTGATGACCTCTCCTACACTGCAGACAGGGATGTGTCCACGCAGTACTAGCAGTCCAGAACGCAGCCGTCCACTGCAAACCTCTTTAGAAGGTATTAGCCACCAGCCGCAGATTGAACTCACAGGTTTACCTGCATAATCCTACTGCGGAGCATCACACACTGTGCCGTATATATATGTGTGTGTTTTTGCAGCCTGTCTGGGCAGCTTCAGCAGCCGTCTTAACCACATGCGTCATCCTGGTGTGAATAAGCAACTCAGCTACATGTGCGTCCACTGAGCATATGCGTGCACACACATGCTTACACCACACTTGAAAACACACAGTGAATCAGCAGTGTACCATAACATACTGTATCAGAGCCCTGTGTGCCATGTCTGGGTATTACCCATCACTCATCCTGTTATTTCTGAGCAAGGCCTGCTCTGGTGAGTCAGTTTTCTCATGGAAACGTCTTTGTTGCAGTATGTGTTTGTTGCTGCTAACATGTTCATAAAGTCAGACTCATAACCCAAAAGGGGAACGCTCCGCATTAAGGCCTCTCTCCTGCTGAAAAGAAACATCTCCTCTCTGTGCAAAAACAGAGAGACGAGATAAAGAAAGAGGGGGAGGGGGAGGATTTCAGTGAATACCACCAGAAGCTCCAGAATAATGCACACTGTGCAGAAAATGTCCTCGCAGTCATACAAGCTGCATGACTAAAGCAGTGAGACAGGCAGGAGTTGGTGACTTAACCCCTCATCATTACAGTTTTATTTGTCAGAGGTAATTAGGCTTAAAGGTGGACATGTTTCTGCCCACATCTGGTCTCAAGTGGCCACAAACAATCACAAAACACTTTGTCAGGAGTCAAGACCCCTAAGTGTCATGGTTGAACACGCTTTAGCATCACTTTACAACATGCATGGTGGTCTGATATACCTCGAAAAATCCATGAAGGTCAACAGATGTCGATAAATGTCATGAGTCCATTTTCAAATGATCTTGGCTGGTGTTGCTGCTTTTCACACAAGTTTAGCAAGTGCTCAATGATATGTCAGGGTGTATATTTAACCCAAACATGATCTTTTCCAATGCGAGTGTGCTTGGTTGTCTGTCTCTAAGTGTAGCCCTGCGAGAGACTGGTGACCTGTCCAGGGTGTCTCCTGCCTTCACCGTAACTCAGCTTGGATAGAGTCCAGCCCCCTGCGACCCTAGTGAAGATTAAGCGGTGTATAGATAATGGATGGATGGATGATCTTTTCTAACTTAACCAAGTAGTTTTTGTGCCAAAACTGAACCAAGTAGTGAGTGAAAACAAAACTTAACATTCTGAAATCCAAAACCTACTTCCAGGTTTAAAAGGCATGACATCTGTAAAGAAAACACAAATAAATGTTGTTTATTTTTTTTTCCAAAATCAAACTGTGAGAATGGAAAAAATGGTCAGAATTTCAGCTTCCAAATTGTCCTTGTATGTATGATGCGTTACTTTGGGATTTTTCGAGGAATTGAATCCAACCTAAACTTAAAATCATCAGTCACTTTATTCTACATGTCCCATTTCAAAATTTGCCAAAAATCAATCATTCGCATGAACCAAATTCTTCAGAAAACTAAAATTCTGCGCTCCTCAGGGAAACTGGAAAGCCATTACTGTGTCGGCTTTGACCACCAGTCATGTTACAACAAGTGAGGGGCTTCTCGGCTGAACTGCAGGGGCTGTCTACACAGAGCAAAGAGGAAATTTTGCATTTGTTGCTGAAGCATAAAACACTGAGCCATGCACGGTCATTACACAAGAGAAGGCAAAGATGTACAAAAACACACATTGGCTTTATCAAAAGGCTTTTTGTCCTCTGTTGTCTTATGAAAGACATTCAGCTTTAAATAGCACATGCAAAGTGAGCGTACTTCGGTGACAAAGGTCTGAGAAGAAGAAGAATAAAGCACTTTTAACCCTTAAAAACTGCTTCATTGCGATTGTGTGAGTGTGGTTATATTGGATTGGACTGACAGTGCTGGCAACAAAAGCTGTTACCAGAATCTGATTTAAAAGCTGCCTCACTCACAAAAGTATGTGGCCTCATATATTTCCACATAAACAAGTAAAAAAGAAAAAAAAAGAAAGAAAGAAAGAAAGAAAGAAAAAGAAATATAGGATACAGAAATTGCTTAAGTTAAACAACCAAAACAGTGACAATTGGAAGGACATTGTGTGTTCCTGTAGATTCCATTGTTGTCCCTTTGATTCACATTAGGAAGCAAACTAAAGGAATAAGTTTTAAGCTCTAAAAGCATGGCTTAATATCCCCTTTACTATTTGCACAAACATCAGTGTTCCTTCTGCAAATGTATGCAGCTCATACAAGCAAAACACTTTATGCAAGTGATTCAAGCTAAACTGTGATCTTTTTCTGTGAAGCAGCTCAATAAAGTGCCTCATCATAGGTAATGTGGACATTTATTAAAGATCACAGGATTTATCTGTAAGCAGTCTTCCCAAGAAAAACTGCAATTTTAGCAAATGCCTAGAAATGACTTCTAAATTCAAGGAAAAAAACCCCACCTCTGACGTCCAATATGACTCTTATCTGTAAGGAACAAAGAAAGTTGTGTGATGTTGTTACCGAGCCATAAACAAAGCCCACAGTCTGAGGAGACTGGGGTGGTGGCATCACCAAAATTTGCACCACAGAGCCTCATGTGCTTTTCTGTTTTTAATATGACCATCTGCATGCATGTGTACCTACTGTAGTATGAATAAAACAGCATGTACTTCTGTTGTCAAAGCGCAGAAACCATGACTTGGTCTAAAGTCAGCAGACTTCCAGCCAGTAGACTTGGGTTAGAAATGGGCCACCATGACAAGGACTTCTGTGACATTCAATGACCTCCAATGACCTCATGTGTTAAGACAAGCTGGACTCAACTAAGACCACAATCCTGTGTCTCTGTGGCAGACCTGTGGAGGACAGCCATAAACAGAAGAGGCTGTATGAAACGGAAAAGTGCTCAAGAAACCAAACGATACTAAAAGTTTAGCAACAGCAGTCCGTTGATTGCTAATTTTCAAGGTTGTGTTGCCACCAACATGTGGTCCTCACATCACAGTTGTTTGTGACTTTGTTGGAAAGCTGAGCAGGAATCACTGTGAGCAATCATGGTGTGGTCCAACAGGACAAAGGAATGAGATCAACCAAGTCAGAGATAACCCAACGGAGTTTGTAACAAAGACCAAGAGCATCTGGTGGTTCAGCGTCAAAGGCAAAGGAGCGAGTGGACTGAATCATTGCTGAGTGCATTGGTGACAACATGAAGCACAAACTCCAAATGTATTGGTGGGATTGAGGGTTGACTTCACAAGAAAATGAGTAATTGTGTTTTACTTGAGTACGACACGACCAGATGTGAAACAGAGCAGGAAGGAAGGCAGCACAAGTTGGGACAGTTCAGTAATCACTGCTGAGAGAACAGTTTGGAGGGAGATCAGTCCGTGGAGTTAGCAGATGATGGAGGAAGTGCTGGGGAAAGCTGACATTGGACACCGTCTCTTCTCAGAGTGGGTGACAAAATCCTCATGGAATGACAGGAGGGGGCAGTGAGTGAAGGAGGATTTTGGGGAGATTACACAGCAAAAGCCTCTTAGAGTTTAAAGGAGTGGTAGAAGCAAGATCGATGGAGATGGAGATGCAGACAGCCAAGAAGCAGGTGAGGAAAGACAGGAGAGAGATGACAAGGTGGACAGACATTAGATGTCAGAGTCTGTAGAAAGTTAAACAAGGGAGACGCTTAGGGAGAATAAAGAAGAAATAAACCACAGTGAAAGGCCGTGGTCATTTTCTTGGTGAGGGTATCAAATTTGTGAAACTTCATTCATCCAACTGGGGCAGAGCATTGTTACTGTAGCCAGTCACTAAATATATTATGAAGACGCTAAAGGTAGAGATAAGCAATAATATGGATAGAATTAAAATCTTTACCTAAAAACACAACTCAACTGAAGAACCATAGACCATCTATAAATATATATAAAATACAGGTCTTGGTAACATGCAGTCAATTTATTGGCTTAAGTTTTACTTCTACAGCGTGACCTACTGACTAAACAGGTCAACTATAGCAACTATAGCTGCAGTGAATAATCCATTAACCCTCTGAACTTTCTGTCAATCCTTCAACTAATCATCTGTGATATGTGCTTCCATCAGAAAAATGAACCCAACCTAAGCTTAAAATCATGATGGGGGTCTCGTTTAAAAAATTGTCACAAATAAATTGGATTGGTTGGGGGCAGCTGTAGCTCAGGTGGTAAAGCGGTTGTCCTCTGATCGTGAGGTTGGCAGTTCGATCCACAGTCTAAGTGTCCTTGGGCAAAACACTGAACCCGAAGTTGCTCCCAATGGCAGGCTAGCGCCTTGCATGGCAGCTCTGTCACCATTGGTATATGAATGTGTGTGAATGGGTGAAAGGGGAAAACATTGTAAAGTGCTTTGAGTGCCGCTAAGGTAGAAAAGTGCTATATAAGTGCAATCCATTGACCATTCTGTAGAAAACACAAAATTATCATCTGCCCATCTGAAAAGTCATAAATGACTGAGCTACAACAAACAATTAGGTGATTAAAAATTAAGAGACTATTCTGCTAAACTCAGACAAGTATGGTAGCAAGTTTGAGAGAGACACTTCTGAGTTCTCTCTCCCTCTAGCCATGGCTGTACCACTTCCATAGAGGTGCAGGACTTTATATTGCAGAGAAAAATGAGCCCCCAGTGAGCAAAAATGTGACAGAAGCAAAAATGCTCA